AACAGTTTTCGAGAATTTGATGTTTCCCCTTTCAAAGAGATCGGAGCTGCACTTGCATGCCTGAGAGGTGTTTCAAAGATGGCCACCGAGTGACATGACTTGCCTTAAAGGGACTTATTATTATTACTTATTACTATTACCAAACTCAGAAATTGGTAGTAAATTTCACAATTAATTACAAAGAAACCACAAGTGAAGTGACTGAAGTAGTATTTTCTTGTAAAACATACTCCAGTAATATTTACTTAACTTCAATTTTTTTACAGTGTAGGCTAGTCCTTGATGTTGTCATTGAATTCTTTGTATTGTGCAGCTAGTGTTGGCTCTGTAAATGCTACTTGTAGCTATATTTACTTTAAATATTACTGTTATTTGTCACCATTGCCGTTAAAAGATGTTCCATGATTTCAAAACATAATTATGTTGTTTATAAGACTCATTAATCAGAGTCTTATAAACTGCATGTAGCTGTCTTTGCTGACTTAAAGCATAACAGTTATTTATGACTTGGTGACATTTTCCTGTGGGAATCTCCTGTGAGATTTTTATATACAAAATGTCAAAAGCAATAGAGGATTAAGGAGCTGTAAGGCTATTTCTTTAGATGGGCATCTGTGTGTTGCCTGACGTCTTAATTCAAGCACTGGAATACAAAAAAACAGACACTTCAATGGTTGAAGACTCCATTATGACACACATTCAAAGCACTGTTACTAGGGTAATTAAGAAGTGCAATTTATGGATGGAAATGCTCTTTCAGAAGACAGACAGAGTGCAGACTGTAAGGTCAGTTTTTGTGGTCTGTATTAGACAGAGCACAGCGTCTCTTAAATGGATAGTCATTATTACTCACATCATGTCATTCCAAACCTGTATGACTTTATTTCTTCCATAGAACACAAAAAGGTCAATTATGGAGATTGTTTTCTCTTTGATGTGTGTGTGTGTGTGTGTGTGTGTGTGTGTTTTTACCATGCAATTACAATGAAAGGGCACTGGAGCTTTTAAAATATAAAAGTGCCATAAAAGTATAATTAAAAATGGTCCATATCTGTATAAATTCCCTTGTGTGAGGACTAAATTGGAATTTAAGACATTATTCTCTGAAAATCAACCCTAACTCTCTGACATATCCATGAGAGAAGCAGTGATGGACATTTAATTAATGAATCATTCTTTTAAGTCAGATTTTTTCAATGAATCGGTTTGCAAAACTGGTTTGAATGATTCATTTAAAGACTCACTGACTCAATAATCGGGTCTCAGCAGTTAACAGTTCACTGGTGGGCAAGAACATCAGCCAATCAGCCTATTATGTGACTTCAAACTCAAATTATTGACAAATTATTACTGCATGAGTTGTATGGACTACATTTCTGATTATTTTATGGTGCTTTTGCAACCTTATCTAGCCTATTTTTTATATATATATATATATATAGAGAGAGAGAGAGAGAGAGAGAGAGATGGAAATATAGTTTATAGTTATATATTTTTGGTGAGAACATGACCAATGAATTTTCAATTGAGGGTGATCTATCCCTTTAATAACTAACCCCCATATCAATGCTGGAAAGACCAGGAAAAAAAGAAAGAAAGAAAAAACATTGTTTCTCATATTCAGTGAGTCTACATGTGATTGTTGACAATCTTATGTCTTGCCGGTCTTCATCTTTATCATATGACTTCATCATGGCACTCCAGAATTATTTTCAAATGCAGTGCATTTCAGCTAGCTTTGCTTGGATTTGTCCATGTATTGGGCAATGCATCTCATGACATTGGAAAGCCAGTAAAATAGCAGGAGCAGAGTAAGAGGATAAGTCTTGAGGAAGCAGTGACAAGCACCTTATGCACAAAAAGCTTGTATAACAGTAGATTTTACACTAAATAACTCCATAAATCTTTATCCCCCCTGCCTTGAATTACAAAGCTGCTCTTTGTTAGTAATTCATGACCCATATTAATGTACTTCCTCTAAAAATGCTCTAATTACTACCCATTAAATGCATTGAATTGGTTCAGATGGTCATGTACATACACAATGTACAGTATATAATATAATATATTTGTAGCATCAAAATGTATTACAATTTTTAAAAAATGTTCACATAGTCATGTACTTACATAATATATAATTTAAAATAAATTGTAAAACTTTTTAAGGTGTCCTTATTGCATGTTAGCGACATATACTTACTATTGTAATGCCAGTAAATTATGCATAATTACATGCAAGTAATCCTAAACCAAACCCTAATCCTAAATCCTAACCATAGTAAGTACATGTAGTTAATTATACTCAGTACTTAAATGCAGGGCCGGTTCTAGACATTAGGAGGCCCTAGACAAAATTCATGTTGGAGGCCCCCCCCCCCTCCTTTTTTAATTTAGGCTATTTATTTAATTTTTACATTTTGCATAATTTTTACTTGTACAGTACAAAAGATTGGACACTATCACTATTTTTAATGTTTTTGAAAGAAGTCTCTTATGCTCATCAAGCCTGGATTTATTTGATCAAAAAAAAAATATATATAATAATAATAATATTGTGAAATAATATTATTACAATTTAAAATAATGGTTTTATATGTTACTATACTTTAAAATATATTTCTGTGATGCAAAGCTGAATTTTCATCAGCCACTACTCCAGTCTTCAGTGTCACATAATCCTAAAGAAATTATTCTAATATGCTGATTTATTATCAATGTTAGAATCATTGCTTAATGTTTATTTTATAACCCCTTTTTAAAGATTTTTTGATTATTGAAAAGTTGTTTAAAAATAAAAAATATATACATCTTTTATAACAATATGAGTCTCTTTATTATTATTTATTTAACATATCCCTGCTGAATATTACTGTTTTGTTCTGTATTTTTGATCAAATAAATGCAGGCATGATGAGCATAAAAAAATCTTTCAAAAACATTTTTAAAAATTTGAATGGGAACAAACTTTTGACAGGTACTGTATTAATGTCTTAAAAATCAAACTTTATCTAAGGTAATCTCTTTATTGTTTGATGAAGATGATATTGTTATTGTTATTATTATTTTGCTGTTTTATTCAATTTATTCACAGTTCCAGAATACCACTTCAGTAGCTTGACATGTTATCTTTTTTTTCTCCTAGCTGGGTATGGGCAGGATTTCCCGCTCCCATTTGATCAATATTGACTACTACAGATAGCTTATTGTCATATTATTAATATGATAATGTATTGCATTGTTATGATAAATACACAATCAGGCTATACACAGATCAAGTAGAAGAGAAAGACTCGATCGCTAGTAAACAGAAAAAAGTTAGTTGAAACTGAAATGATAGGCTAAGTGTTATGTTAGAGCAGTAATGTAATCATCAGCAGAATTTAGAAGATAGACACATCAGAGATCCTTTATTTAAAAAATAAAAAATGTTCTAGTGTGTTTGCTTTTTAACTTTGAACTGGAGACCTGCACTCCCGCGGGAGCACCGCGGGACCCAACGCAACAGGGTGCGGCGCGGGACAACTCTTGATGGGCGAGAGCGGGTGCGGGCGTGTAGAGTGTGTGTGTGTGTGTGTGTGTGTGCGTGTGCGGGATGCGGAAGAATAAAATGATTCGCGGGACTCCCGCAAAATAGAAATGATCCAAACATAAAATGTCTTAACATATAAATTGTTATTCATGTGTTGCACAAAAGCAAAAAGAACAACTAATACTGATTAACGCGCAAGCTAGGCAGAGTTTCTATTTATAACCCGTGTTTAAAGGGTTGCGCAATGTAGCCAATCACAGACTCAGCTGTGGCCAACCAGAGGTGATTAAGTTAGAATCCACTCACAGCAGTGCTGAAATTGCGTGCTCACGAATCGTCTTCATTTTAACACACGAAGGGTAGACATTGTGAAAGATTCATTGTGCATATGTTCATTGTGTTATAACAGAGCTTTATGAGATCGCATGAACTGAGATGTCAGCTTTTAGTGATAAAGGAAGCGCTGCTCGCATTCTGCCATGCCAAACCATGCACGCAGCAGCCCATGCTTGCTTTTCTGTTAAAAATAACAGTGGTTTGTTAATGTTGATGCTTAGCCTAAATAACAAATATTTTATCGGGAGCATTTATGCTGGGATGTTGTGGATCTTAGGAGATATTACAGCACCATTTAATGTGCATTTCTTTGATGTGCTGAAAAAAAATCTATATAGATTACTTTTATGACTGAAAAATCCGTCCCGCGCAGGTCTCTACTTTGAACACAAACTTCTCTGCTTTTACTTTTGTAGCTATTTTGCAAGTCAGCTCCCGACGCGATGTCATTCATTGTACACGCAAATTCAAAGCGTCGCGTCTGGGCGCGTCAGCGGCGCTCGCGCTCTTTTAAACTCGTAATAGAGCGGTGAATGATCTTTCCAGAAATGCAATTCCATTGCAATCACTCTAAAATAGATGAAGACAACACACACCTGCATTAGGAGCTGTAGCCTACTTCTTTGCGTGCCTGTTTGCTTCGCACAGTTCGCAGCACCTGAAGGATGCGTTTGTTACGCAAACATTGCAACATTAATTGGTTTAATTGCAGCTGAGTGACAATTCAACTATATCCAATGAACAATGAGGCTAGTATTTCTGCCCGTCTTGACTGGTGGACTGGCATATAAGGGATGCTACTGTTATATACTGCTCTGCCTATAGCTAGCGCCGTGGCCCTGCTTAAATGTATAATTACACTGTAACAGAGGTCACCTTAAAAACTGCAAGATAATATAATATAATATATGTAACCGTGTATTATTAAAATTTTAATTCGTACTGTAGAAAATAGATTGTATTTTATGTTTGTGTAAATGCTATACGTTTGGTTGTTCATAACATTTTAATTGTCAGCTCTGGGGTTCAAACACTTAATCGGCATTTTATAAGTGTGTCTGTGCTGCTGACTGGCTGTTAATTAAAGCTGCTTCTGAATCTGAACAGGATGGGTTGTTTGAGAAAGAGAGAGAGAGAGCAGGGAAGGACTGAAGACTGAGCATGTACAATTTCTTTATATGAACGTCCTGCTGGCACATATAGCCTACACATATGGGGCAAACAGGCACTTGAGGCTTACACTTTGTGTGATTATGAAGGGCTAAGCATAGGGCTGTTGGGCTGCATGTTTGAGTTGAGCTTAACTGAGCATCCCTCCTCATGCACGCTGGAACAGGCACATGGTTACTGGCATTGACAAACTCATCACACACACATGTTGGGCGCAGTTGACAGCTCAGCTCTAGGGTGCAGACAGAGAGGCAAGTAATGCTGTTTCTCAGGTTTAAGCAAACTCCTTTTGCGTACCAAGTCTGAGCCCCTCTCCCTGCGCTGCGATGAACGCTTCGCGCTCGCTCAGCATGGGAATCCCCACTCAAGCCCCTAACAGCACCGCGGTGAGCGCGGACACTCTCGCCCCGTGGAATTACAGCGCAGTGAGTGCGCACAAGCTGATGGAGCTGCCGGCGCGGCCCACTACGGTAAGATGATGGCGTTTGTTTAATATAAGTAAGTTGTTACATTTAGAGGGGGAAAACGTCGGTCATAATGCGTGTCGTACTTGAAGTCATGTGTATATTTATATTAACATATATAAAAATATTGGAGCGCTAGTGCCACAAACGCGTGCGTAATCAGAGGAGCGTTTGAGGGAAGCCTATCCGTTAACGTTACAGGCGCAAGTGTGCCAATTAGCGGGGATGGCTCCAGCCTCCCCCAAAAGATAGGCAAAAGTATATGTAAGTATTTTACATGTAAGTACTGTGTTTAAAGGTGCTTTAGTATGTTTCAATAACCACAAAAGTTGCAGCTTTTTGCTGAAGAGGTAACCATAGTAACAGTATGCTGATCGAGCGATTTCCGTTCCGGACGGTACCTCGACAAAATATAAAACGTTCTTTTTTGTACATTTGTTTGTCGAAATTACAAAGAAATTTTGTTACTAGATTTAGTGTTTGAAATGTCTGTCCGATAGTCCGACGGTTAGTTAAATGTGCCAGAGGCGCCAAATACGCGAGATGAACATCACATTGCGTCTGGACAAACTGCTGACAAATATTCCGTTTCTGTCTCTCCGCATGGATAGGAAAGGATTAAATGTGTTAGCTAGTCAATCACGCCTCATTGTTTAGCCTCTGGGAGTGTTCGATGATCATGGTTTATCATAGGGGATTCACAATCATAAGTTTATCGAACCATTCAATTGTATCAAGTGCACGAGCCAAAGCATGTGATTTAAAAATGATTAACCTGTGAACTCCAATAATGAAATTGTAATAACTTTGTTAAAATGTCATTAAATTATATTTAAAAGGCCGTTATTTCATGAAGAAAAACTTTTCCACAGACCGCCGTTACACTTCCTTGCTGAATATATTAATATTTTTATGGTAGCACATTTTCAGCTGCTGCAATATCTGAAATAAAAGTATTGCAGTTGCAGGTACTTGATATTTAATGCACCAGTGGAGCATGGAGTCCATTTGTAATGTATAACTTGTATCTATCTATTCTGTTATGTCCAGAGCTGGAGTTATTGCTTGACATCAGAAATACTCTCAAAAAGGTATTTCTGTATGATTCGCCTATATTAAATAAAGTTGTTACGGTATTCATTTGTTTTTATAAATGCATTTTATGCTAAATGTTAGACAGTCTGGTTTTAACAATAATTGAACTGGTCTTCATTTCTCATGGTTCTAAAATTCATCCAGACATATTTGGATCAAGTCTGTAAACTATAGTATGTTCTGTATGGTGTCTTTGTGATAGTATGCAGCTGAATTGTTGCACACTGATCACTAGAGCGGCTCACTATCACCCACACACTCAACCAGAGGTGTTACAACCCTACAAGTGGAATTACTCCGCAAATAAGCACAATTTAGCAGACTGAGCGTGTAATAGCCACATACACACAGATGTCAGTTTGGAAAGTAGGCAGTCATGTGGGAATCTAGCACATGGGATTAATTTCTTAGAGAAGTAAGCTATTCCTGGATATTTCCTATTTGGCGATTAAAATGGGACATACGAGAAAATGAATTCAGAGGAAGAAAAGAAACAAACAAAGCCAAACATGCATAATGTAGTGCGTGAGAGCATTATTTGCATTGTATCATTTCATCAGATGAAAATAATATGGAAATAGCATGATAATGATGTGAGGTCCTAAAACAGAGCTTTGTCCCTTGTGAGAGTTTTAAACCCAAATTTTACTAACGCATACAGTAATGCTATCCAGCGAAGAAAAAAACAATTAGCTAATGCTTTACTGCTCATAGTCCTTTTTTGTCTCTAACAGATTTATTTATTTATTTATTTTCATTTCGTAAATCAATAGTGGTCCAGACAAATGAAAGAGTATGTATTGTGTCATATGAATGAGTGTTATGACATTCTTCAAACTGGGGTGCCTTGTTCCTCTGAAGAATCATGACTTTATTTGTTAATGTCACAGCTACAATACAGAGCTTGCATTCATACTCTGATGTAATGTGAATATAGAGCTTAACCTTTATATCTTCCATTGGCCTAATTTGATTTTTTTTAATCCATGTTATTTTTCCACCCAACTTTGTAGCACTATGTATTAGTGCATAGAATTGAATTCCTATCTGTATCTTGTGTCACTGTACGTTGTTAAACTGTCGCCTTTTGATTCCAAAACAATAGATTGATGTTATTTTTTTTTTAATTTAATTTTTTTTTTAAGAGTGGCATGGATAGCTTTAGAATTATAGAGTAAATCAATGTGTGGGAGATAAAAAGTAATGCAAATATGAGTTTGAAGCAGGAGCTTGAAAGAGAAGGTGAAAGGTCATGGTTGTACAGGGACTTCAAAGAATAGAATGTTTAAAACTATGCCTTAGACATTGCAATTGTCAGCGAGGCTCTCACTGTTTGCCTTGAGCTAGTATTGACCCATCTGCATGGCCTAAACAGTTTTTGTGATGACACTGCATGACAATTAGCCTTTTATATTTCATTGCATAAATTCTCCATTCCAGAGGCCTGAGATAAAATACTGAGAGGTGGCTGTGGTCTCAAAAACAACAGGTGGAATCAGCCTTTTTTATTTATTTTTTGCATAATTTACACTACAAAGATGGCAGAGAAGTGCTTCTGAAGTGTAATTTAGCTGTCTTTCCACTGACTGTTTAATGCTGCTCAGTGGTGGCAAAAATGCATTTACACAGCAATTAAAACTAGCCTATACCAGGGGTAGGCAAGTTCGGTCCTAGAGAGCCGCAGTCCTGCAGAGTTCAGCTCTGTGTTTTACCTTGCATGCATGTCAACCTGTTGTTGGGGACTCCCGAAACCAAAATATGAACCTTTCATAACCCATAATAGGGGCACTTTAACTCGGGTGTTTAAAGATGCCTTTTGTCATTTAAATGAAAGCCGGAACATTGGACACTGGCCCAACTTTCAAATCCAGTGAAAGTGATCCATGTGTTAGGCTTTTGCCAATAAATGCTGATTTAGCTTGAACTTACATATTCTGAAATCTTCTAAAGATATAGACATAGTTTCTGGTTAATTCATAAGGCTGACATGACCCTGTGCTGCTTTGATGATCTTCTGGATTTTTAAAGGTCATATGATTTCAGCTTTGTATTCTTGGAAAGCACTACTACATAATGATTTGTTATAGTAGCATTTTTATGGTTTTTTTTTTAGGGTTATTTAACACTGGCTTGATAGAAACTTCAAGTTCAACTGAGTTTTGTCTCTGAAGAGGCGGGATGAGTCCAAGGTTTATTGCAACCGACTTGTCCAGTGTGTATTTTAATTGATTTCGGGCTTGTCAGAAGTAAAACAGAGAGCAAAGAGGTTTCTGTAATACAATGAGACATTCACAAAATGGAGACAACATAGACATTGGTCTGTTTCATATGTCTATCTCACAAGTGAGGAACAAAGCACTTTTGTTAGTTTTTGTATTTTATGTTTAGAGAATTGTTGTGAAATATATCAACAACCACTGAAAAAATAAAGCCAAATGTATTTTTTAACACTATTTCAAAGTACAGTGATATTGACAATCAAGGACAAACACAAAATCACAATTTGAATGATGTTTCATTTCATTATGATTATCAAGAGTTTGTCAAGGTAAACTTTCAAGGTAAACAGCGGGAGCCCTGATTCCTTATTAATGATAATGGTTTTGACATTAATGTTAAAGCACTAGATATTGTGTTTGGATGTTCACATATTTTTGTCATATGTATGCATGTTTTATACATCAGAGAGACTAAGACAGTGACAATGAGAGTGAAACAGAACAACATACAGTCTGAATCTGTTCAAACTCCAGTGACTTTGCAGTGTCCTTCAAGGCTTTCAAACATTAGTATTCTTCTTAACATCTGTATTAAAAATTCACATTGGGGTGGTCTTTATGTGTCCTGATGTTTTCTGTCTGATTGTGTTAAGCTTTAGTGACATGCCTTGAAGGGACATGTAAGATCAGACCTGTCTCTCAGAGAAGACCAAGACTGTGAAAATCTCACACCTTCAAAGATATTCACTTTACAATGTGCCATATTGAAAGCCACATTAATGAATGACAAGTGGTTTGTTTTTTAAATTAACCATTCATAGGATTCTCAGTGGTCATGGAAGGTACATATTTTATCAGTGTGTGTGTTCCCAAGGAACCAAACCCATGACCTTGATGTTGCTAGCATTATACTGTCCCAGCCTTAGCCTTTACAGTCCACCTCTTGACAAAGATATTGCTCAAATGTAAATTTTCCTCCAAGTACTTATTTCATCAAGTACACTTTATTCAACTAATCTTTGCAATAAAATGTAAAAAAGATTTTTAACCCCCTTGATGCATTCATTTTTGAATTACAAAGGGGAAACAGATCTTAATGTTTGTTTTCACTTCAAAACAAGAATAATTCTCAATCTTGTTTGTGTTATATGTTGAAAAAGTTGCACATCTGTCCATTGCAATAAATTGTTACATTGGATCTCCATTCCAGGAATATCAGATCAAGTCTCCTTCTCAGATCCCATCATTAAAACCCTCATCCGTCCCTCGGGTCATTTTGACCCAAAAAGTTTTTTTTTTAAAAATCGTACCGTACCGGTCCAAGATTTCTTTATTTCTGTCACACTTGGAATACACACACACAAAAAAAGGATTCGAGGAGTTTAAATGAGTGAAATAAAAAAAGTAACAAAGTGTCCCTCGCGGGTCATTTTGACCCGTATTGGAATGAATGGAATTTACGAGAAAACTGCATTTTTCATTACATTTGATTTTTTTTATATACAAAATCGGAGACAATCCAGTAAAGATTTATACCCAAACAAAGGGCTGAGACTACAGAATATCCCCAAAGCAGAAAAAACTCACACACACACACACACACATACACACACACAAGGTACACACACTCTCATAGAACACATTGTAATATTTTTCATGTTTCTTCTGGGATATGACTGTCATTTTCCCTTT